CCCCACCCATGCACCAGGCCTCTATCCTATATAATAAAAGGGTAATATGCAAATTGACCCTAACAGCAGAATGACTGGGAATAACTAGTCACTATGACACACAATGACCACCAGGGGGCAGATGCTCAATGCAGGAGCTGCCCCCCCTGGTAGTCAGTGTGCTCCCACAGGGGGAGCTCTGCTCAACCACAAGCCAGGCTGATGGCTGCCAGTACAGCAGTGGTGGTGGGAGCCTTTCTCGCCTCCTCAGCAGTGCTAAGGATGTCTGACTGCAGCTTAGGCCTTCTCCCCGCTGGCAAGTGGACATCCCCCGAGGGCTCCCAGGCTGCCATAGGGATGTCTGACTGCCAGCTTAGGCCCAACCCCCCAGGGAGCGGGCCTAAGCCAGCAGGTGGACATCCCCCGAGGGGTCCCAGACTGTGAGAGGGCACAGGCCGGGCTGAGGAACCTCCCCCTCCCCCCGCCCCGAGTGCACAAATTTTTGTGCACCGGGCCTGTAGTATATATGGAGGCGAGAAGTCCCCAATCTGCCATGTGCAAGCTGGAAACTCAGGAAAGCCCAGGTGTAATTCAGGCTGAGTGCAAAGGCCCAAGACTCAGGACCTCTGATGTCTGAGGAAGGACACGGACATTTCAGCGCAAGAAGAGTGAGTCACTTTTCTTTACCTTTTATTCTATCCAAGTGCATGGAATGAATAAGGCCACTGGGGAGGGCAAGTTTGCTTTACGTAGTCACTGATTCAAATGCAAAACTTTTCCAGAAACATCCTCTCAGACACACCCAGAAAATGTGTTATCAGCTCGGTGGGCATCCCTCAGCCCAGGCAAGCTGACATAAAATTCACCATCACAACTATCATAGCCCATCAGGATACCCAGCTTAGGAGGCCCCAGGGGATCACTGGGTTGCCCACTGCCAGAGATGCTCTGATGAGAGCCTTGCTCCTTTACTGAAACAAGAAGCCTTGCCCTCTGCCACTAGCAGCAGCTCATCTGGGTCACACTTTGGCCCAGATGCCAATGGTGGTCAAGGGCTTCATTCTTTTTCTGGCTAGACCAGAGTTCCTGAGCACCTGCCAGGCTCCTCTACCAAGAGCAGTCAGGGCAGCAGTTCTCCCACAGGCAAGCCAAAGGGAGTGGAGCCTGAGGGAGGAGGAAGGGAGGAAAAGAAGCCTGTGAGTCTAGCCCTGCCATGTGCTTCCAGCAGGTTTTTCGACCCTGGGTGACATTGGGGCTAGGGCCCCTCACCTTCTGTTCAATTCTCTACCAAACTGATCAATCAAATCCTGATTGATAGCCTCCCATGCTCACCCCATCACCGGCTTGCAGACCAGCTGTGGTGGCTGAGGGTGCATGACCACTACTGTCACCAGAACACTAGATAGGAAGCTCCCAGAGGCTTCCCAGGCTTGGCCAGGACATAGGACAGAGTCTGGGTCCTCAGAGCCAAGGGCAGAGGGAAGAACTAAACCTATTATAGACAGCAGGCCTTGGTCTGAAGCCCAGATTCATGAATTTCATTGCCCCTGGCCACGCTGACCTGACTTGCTGCCAAGCCTGGCTGAAACACACAAGAAGGCTCTGGGGCACGATCAACATCATAACCAATTTTAGTGAGATTGTCCTGCCCTCTGTCCCTTCTTTTGCTGCATTTGGCTCCATGAGGCACTCTCTCATTCTCAGACTGAGGACACTCTCTACTCCTCCTGCAGATGGGCTCCTCCCCCCACTCCTGCCCTACAGCTGGGCTCCTCTCTCACTCCTGCTCTGCAGCTGGGCTCCTCTCTCACTCCTGCTCTGCAGCTGGGCTCCTCTCTCACTCCTGCTCTGCAGCTGGGCTCCTCTCTCACTCCTGCTCTGCAGCTGGGCTCCTCTCTCACTCCTGCTCTGCAGCTGGGCTCCTCTCTCACTCCTGCTCTGCAGCTGGGCTCCTCTCTCACTCCTGCTCTGCAGCTGGGCTCCTCTCTCACTCCTGCTCTGCAGCTGGGCTCCTCTCTCACTCCTGCTCTGCAGCTGGGCTCCTCTCTCACTCCTGCTCTGCAGCTGGGCTCCTCTCTCACTCCTGCTCTGCAGCTGGGCTCCTCTCTCACTCCTGCTCTGCAGCTGGGCTCCTCTCTCACTCCTGCTCTGCAGCTGGGCTCCTCTCTCACTCCTGCTCTGCAGCTGGGCTCCTCTCTCACTCCTGCTCTGCAGCTGGGCTCCTCTCTCACTCCTGCTCTGCAGCTGGGCTCCTCTCTCACTCCTGCTCTGCAGCTGGGCTCCTCTCTCACTCCTGCTCTGCAGCTGGGCTCCTCTCTCACTCCTGCTCTGCAGCTGGGCTCCTCTCTCACTCCTGCTCTGCAGCTGGGCTCCTCTCTCACTCCTGCTCTGCAGCTGGGCTCCTCTCTCACTCCTGCTCTGCAGCTGGGCTCCTCTCTCACTCCTGCTCTGCAGCTGGGCTCCTCTCTCACTCCTGCTCTGCAGCTGGGCTCCTCTCTCACTCCTGCTCTGCAGCTGGGCTCCTCTCTCACTCCTGCTCTGCAGCTGGGCTCCTCTCTCACTCCTGCTCTGCAGCTGGGCTCCTCTCTCACTCCTGCTCTGCAGCTGGGCTCCTCTCTCACTCCTGCTCTGCAGCTGGGCTCCTCTCTCACTCCTGCTCTGCAGCTGGGCTCCTCTCTCACTCCTGCTCTGCAGCTGGGCTCCTCTCTCACTCCTGCTCTGCAGCTGGGCTCCTCTCTCACTCCTGCTCTGCAGCTGGGCTCCTCTCTCACTCCTGCTCTGCAGCTGGGCTCCTCTCTCACTCCT